CTACAGTGTGCAAGAAAACTAATTCAACCATTCATGAGAAGTGGCTGTCCAGCCTCTTCTTAAAACCCTCCAGAGATGGACAACCCACCAGCTCCACAGGAAGATTCTTCCACTGTGGTACAGATTCTACCATCTGGAAGCTTTCCTTATATTCATATGAAATCTAGGTAGCTGCAACTTGTATATTGTTATTTCTGGTCCAGGTTACTGTCTGTGGGAAAGAGTTCTTTCCCACGGTTGAGTTCTTGACCATCTTCCCTGTGGCTTCCTTTGATGGACTGGAACTTGGCTATCATCTCTCTCCTCCATCTTCTATTAGGCTCTGCTGGTATGTTAACAATTAAAAAGATTACAAAGCTACTAGTAAATCTGCAAAGGTATCTCAACAAAAGGAAATCAGATTCAAGTTATGCTGTCCACTGAAATTTCTCAACCCACAACAGCAAAATGATGGTGGTGGTGATGGTTAGCTGCTGGGAGCAAGATGTTTGATTGTGGCAGGTTGCAAATAAATAAATAAGATAACAACATTATTATTTATTAGATTTAATATAGCCACCCAGTCCAGTGGACACTGGGCGGCTTACAAAATATACAGGTCGTCCTCTTTTAGCAATTGAGCAAGCTTCCAGATGGTAGAATCTGTACCACAGTGGAAGAATCTTCCTGTGGAGCTGGTGGGTTGTCCATCTCGGGAGGTGTAAAGAAGAGGCTGGACAGCCACTTCTCATGAATGGTTGAATTAGTTTTCTTGCACACTGTAGAGGCTGGACTAGGCGTTCTTTGTGGTCCCTTCCAACAATTGAGATCAGCAACCTGGCTGTTAAGCGAAGTGGTTACTAAGTGAAACCACAACTGTGCACATGATCTGACTTCAGCTAGAATCTTCCTGTGGAGCTGGTGGGTTGTCCATCTCGGGAGGTGTAAAGAAGAGGCTGGACAGCCACTTCTCATGAATGGTTGAATTAGTTTTCTTGCACACTGTAGAGGCTGGACTAGGCGTTCTTTGTGGTCCCTTCCAACAATTGAGATCAGCAACCTGGCTGTTAAGCGAAGTGGTTACTAAGTGAAACCACAACTGTGCACATGATCTGACTTCAGCTTTCCTTTGCTTTACAGCCCTGCAAAGGTCGTAAATGCAAGGATTGGTCACAAGGTTACTATTTCATCACTGTCGTAACTGAAAACGGTTGCTAAGCAAGGCAGTCACTAAACGACAATGCCTGTAATAATAATGAAAACGATTGCAAGCATGAATCAAATGAAACAAGACCACCTGGACTAAAAACAACCATTAAAACAGCCCCCCCAACATATTAACTCCAGGCCTGGGACCAAAGCCAGGTTTTAAAGGGTTTTTGGAACCACGGGAGCGTGGGCACCATCCGTATGTTGCAATAACTTACAGTTGGGTGATCTAAGTAACATTCATCCACAGCATCTAATTAGATTTCTAAATGGCCAGGTGGGCAGAGCTGTGATTTACCCGTATCTTTTCCATTAACTTTCTGTTCTTCTGGGTCAGGGACTCTATCTGGCCCTGCAGGGTTGCTAGGAGATGTTCAGTAGAGGCACTTAAGCTTTTTTTGGATAGAAGAAGTTCAGCCACTGTTAAAAAGAAGAGCAAGAGGAAACCAAACAGTGAAGAAACCCAGAACAATAGATTAAAGCTGGTGGAGAAGGCTGCCCCAGGCTAACAGTACAAGGACGTGCTGTCTTCCCCTCAGGTACACCACTGAGATATTCAGTGGAGGTGGTCACTAAGACATAAAGGGCAATAAAACACCTAGACTTGAAGAAGTGCAAAACAGATTACAGAAAGAAACCTGAAGGGGGGAAACTGCAGGTCCCTCGGACCTAACATGCTCAGTATGCAAAGTTGACTGTTAATTGGGGGAAAAAAACCTGTCCGGAGGGGATTGTTCAGGGGTGTTGGGGGGTCAAAAAGTCAAGATGGAGCCCACAACTGTGTGACTGAAACCCCACGTCTTTTTTATTGCGAAAGACATAAAAAGGGGCAGGGCGTCGATCTCGTCATGGCTGCCATCTTGACTTTTTTGACCTTGTGGCAGAGTTCCTTGGAGTGCTTCTTGAGTCTTAAATGGTAACATAGGGGAAGGCATGCCCCCTGAACAAAAGCATTCCCATTAGGAGGTATTCAGAAACGCTGCCGGTCCCCTTTGAGCTAGGCTAGTGCGCAGAACAAGTTTCAGGGCAAACGTGGTTTTTCCCCAGCGGAAGGAAAGACACGGCTGCCTGTAGAAATCACTGCGGGCAACCCAGGAGTTCAGCACTGCTGGGACTGGCAAGACCGTGTCGCTAGTTTATTTGTTTTATTTCCACGCTCCTCGTCCTCCTCCCAAGAGGGGAGCCCAGAGGGACTAGGAATAAGGAAGAGGGTTAGGGTGAGTTAACTAAAACCATTGTAATAAAACAAGTCTAAGAACACTAGATGTGCTGGAGGAGGCCTTGGTCCATCTAGTCCCGAGATCTGTCCTCCCACTGGCCCACCAACTGCCCAAGGATGCCCACCAGTCTCCCAGCAGATGGCCTTCAGAGGAGGTCCCACTGCCATCAAGCGCCCGTGACTCCCAGGACTTCCATGGACGGGCCCAACCCTTTTGTGAAGCCAGCCAAGACGGCAGCCAGCCCCACATCCTGAGGCAGCAAGACGTAACAAATGGACACAGTTCATTGGAACAAACAGAGAAACCAAAGAAAAGCCAGCTTGGTGTTGGGTACAACCCTCTGCCTTATAAGCACATGCACATCCTCTACTGTCTTTTGAAAGAAGGAAGCGCGGGAAGCAACTGAATATATCTTGGGAGACAGTTTCATAATTGGGGACTGCCACTTGAAAAGGCCATGCTGCTGACCATCACCGCTTGAGCCAATGCCACCGGGGGAGTCATGAGGAGGGACTCCTCAGCTGATGTTACCCCATGGCTTGCAGGGCATTGGGGAAT